AGTCCTGGCCCTGGATTTCACAATCCTTCAATGTGTTTGTAGTACAGGAAAAAATGTATACTGGTCAGATAAGAAGTATAAGAAGACACAAAGGATCTCTGGCTGGGACAGGCAGGGATGTGACCTTCAGGATGAGCATGTGGCGCAGCGTAGCAGCAAGTGGCTGTGACGTAGGGGAAACCATATGGGTTTCTTCCTTGGTAAGTTAGGTAGATGGTGGGCCTCGAGAACGAAGGCGGTTCTCAGATCAAAACGGGCCAAGGGTCAAGATCTCTCAACACTGACCTGGAGGTGGCCTGGACTCACCAAACTGTTAGAGAGGAGGGGGCTGCTTCCAGTCTTGGGTTCTCTCTTTAATTTTGATCTCAGACCCTAGAGGGCTGGATGAGGAGACGAAGTTCAGATGTTGGGTGGTTTAATGCAGCGTTTCCGGGGTGCTCTGGCTACAGATGGGTTTCCTTATCTGCTGCTACTTTCCCGTTGTAGCAGTACCTGGACTTCCGTGTCTTTTCCTAGACCTGTAGGAAGGCTATTGTGATTTACGTCACTTCCCCACTCCTGGCCCAGCCCTTCCTGACCACAGGTCAGCCCAGCCACATACAAGATGGCAGCCCGCTAGCTCACTTAGAAGTGTGCAGAAAGCTGCCTGCAGAACTCTGGCCTAGCATCCCCAGCTAAGGGTCCGCTTTCCCAGGATAGGTTGCTGGTTCGTTTCTGCTCCCATCTCTGAGATGAGATAAGAGGGCTTCATTGGGTCAGCCATCCAGGCGTTTTCTTGAGCATAAAGAAGCTTTTAATTTAATGTAAAATGCCTCCAACTCTCATCAAATACATTCCTCTTGCTTTGCTATCCTCCTGAGGCATGGCAGGTGTCCCAGACTTTGGTGTTGCCCCTCCCCCAAGAGCCCTTTCTTCGGGTCCAGGGTGATTAAATACACCAGATAGATGGATTGGACCCTCTTGTAAATCACCTTCAGGTTTGTATGGCAAATGGATTGCATTTTCCTCTATTGGATTTTGCTAAATATGCATACAGTACCTGTGTTGGGCTCTGCATATACCCGATAAGTCACAGAGCTTTTTCTCCTTTTCATTCTCACAGCAGCCTGGTGACTCAGACTGAATAAGGGACACATTACTCATGTGTTACAGATGAGGACATAGGCTGGACCAGGGCACACAGGTATCAGGGAAGGGCCAGGGTCAGACTCAGGTCTTCTGACTCCAAGTCCAGTGTCCCCTCTCTCCATTATGCCTGCCTCCCGAGGGTACTGCCTGGACTGGGAAAGTACTGGAATCAGGTGCAGAAGGAGGAACCAACTTAGAATTAATCCAGAGCCTGGACATTGCTCAGAATTGCTGATTGGGAAGTGAGCCCCCAAACTGTCAACCTAGCACAGGCCTTGTCCCAGGCCATATAAGTGTCAGCTTCTGCTGCAGACACGCTATGATATTCCTAGATACTACACACGTGCACACGCGCGCGTGCACGCACACACACACACTTACACGTACACAGGCATGCATGCACACACAACTGGACTAGCAATACAGTAGTCAAGATGCCCTTCTTTAGCCCTGAAAAATGATGTCACCTCTCTTCTTCCTAACCTGATCCTGGAGTGGGGGGACCACACCTGACCCTTTCAAATGAAGTTTGGTGCCTAGGGAAGGGGGCCCTCCATTTCCCAGAAAGCACCTCACCAGAACTGTGCCTCTCACAGCTTGGAGTAAGAGAGGGTCCTCAGATCCGCCTGTGACCAAGCAGGCAGCTAGCACACAATATGTGGAACTGTGCTCATTTCCAGGAGAAAAGTCAAGTCTTTTGTCCCGGCTACCTTCCGGCTGGCTGCTATCAGCTGGCAGGAACAGCACCAAGGGTCTGTCTCTGTCCCTTCCTGAAGAGAGTTCATGATAAGGCCTTCGGACCTTATCATGCCATCTGAAGTGGGGCTCCGCCACAGGAGACACAGTTGTTGACTGAGGAGCTTAAAGACGCATCTCTCCTCTGTGGCCAAACCAATAAGGCCATAGATTCTCCTGTCCCTGGAGAAGGGGACCAGCCCAGAACTAGGTACCTACTGCCTGCCTGCAGTACTTTGCCGAGTCTTCCACCCTTGCCTGGGGCTTGGGCTGAGCAAGTGCATATTAATGGAACTGGGGGTGGCTGTAAGCCACATTCTAAGATGGTGCCTTTCTTTCCATAGTACTGTTAGCATCACTTGATGAAATAGGACTGGGTAGGAAGGAGTGCTGTAGGCCTGAGGTGAGCTCGCTGTGAAATTCCCTTCAGACCACCTCAAACACCAGGCTTCCAGGTGCTCATGGAACCAGAAAAGTTGCCAAGGGTGGGGAGAATACCCACAGCCCTCCTGCCTTCTAAGCCTTCCACAGAGTGCTCTGGACAGCATTCATCCATGGGCATGCTGCCTCTTGTCTTTCTCTGGCTGGAATAGTTCTGTAGCTGGCTCCCCTGCCTTCTTTCCATCCCCTGTCCAGTATCTTCCTGGAAACACATCCTACCAGAGGAGGAAGAAGCTGAAAAATCTCCATCTTCCACTTGCAAGTTTGCCCAACCCTGTGCCCCACCCCTACCCTAAGTCAAAGCAAGCTAGTTCCTTCCTCTGGAGAGGTGGGGAGTTGGTGCCGGGGCGAACCAAGAGCCACTGTCCAGCTCTTTACATCTGCTGAGCCCAGAACGAGAAGGTATATTCCACCAAGATAGCGCCACCTTTTGGATATCTCGGCTGGATATTTGCCTCCTCGAGGAAAAAGGGCCAAATGCTATCTGCAAGTTTAATCTTCTTTACTCAAAAATCCTGCTGTCCCTATTGTCTGCCAGTACATTTGCAAATAAGCTATTCACTCGCTTTAAGCCTCTTTACCCCGCCCCTTCCCCCTTAACCCACTCGCTCGGTTGTCTTGTTTATTAATTTCTGGGCCAGTGCTTCAGAGAGGCTCATCCTGCCCACAGGCATCCAGAGGCAGCAGTCTCCCTCTCCTCTGCCGAGGCGGGAGCCAGGCCCAACTTGGTTGGGCCCACCTTGGATCTTGTGTTCCTTTCTCAAGTGCAGTATCCTGAATCTCTTCTCACTCCTGTGACAAGTACATGGGGGAAAAAATCGATCCACTTACATGTTCTTCAAAGCCACAAGAGAAGTGAGGTCGTCCAGCTACAGGTCCCCAGGCAAGAGGGACTCCACTCTTGACTTCAGATACTCTTTTTGCTGTGGAAAGCAGCTGTGACAGGACAGGGGAGAGATGCCACAGGAGCTAGGAAGGGGGAGTGAGCCTTGAAGACAAGGGAGTGTCCGTCACTCAGGCTTGGTTTCTTCAAAACGTGCTAGCTATGGTCTAGCAGCTGCGACCCTCACACTCCTTGGTGGTTTCAAAACCAGTAAGAACTTCCTTTTGCGATTGAAACGGTTTGGGATTTTTTTGTTTTGTTTTGTTTTGGTGAGGGTGCTTTTGTTTCTGTTTTTTTTTAAGACAGGCTCTCAGTGTGTAGCCTTTGCTGGCCTAGATCTTGCTATGTAGACCAGGCTGGCCTGAACTAATAGAAATCCCCCTGCCTCTGCCTCCCAAGTGTTGGGATTAAAGGCGTGCACCACCACCCAAGGCCTATGATGGAAATGTTTTTAAAACAGAAAATAAAGTTGAGTCTACTAAGAGGGTGTAAAGCTGAGCCAGAATCCACCTGTTGGACAGGCTGGGGCCCTCCAACTCTTCACACTAGGAAGGTGTGATGGGGCTAAGGACAGGCCAGGATGAAGCCTAAGGTGATGTCACCTTTGGCCACCCCTCCCCCAGACACAGTGCTGAGTCTCTGGCTGTGTGGATGCCGGCTCTCCCTCTGTAGCCAAGGTGCGTTCTAAGCTTTATTTCTCCCAGTCTGGAGTTTCTACCTGAGATAATGTAACCACAATGCACTGCGGTCGGGCACTCTCTCTGTCAGCTGGTTTGGTTAGTATGCTCTGCATTCATACTTCTTTGTCTTTTTTTTTTTTTTTTTAACCAAAGGAAAAAACGTTTAAGTCCTTCCCTCCCTTTCCTTCTCCTGCAGGAGGTGAGTGTGTGGGTATCCTCTTAGGACCATTGGCTCCACCCCAGCCTTAGCCAACCTTCAGGTTACCATTCCCACCCATCCCCTCCCTCCATCCCCTGCTCTGCACCCCAAAAGAGGACTCTGCCGCCATCATTCCTGTTACGTTAAGATGCCCGAACTTTCCATGACACATGCCATCCTCTGACCACTTCAGTGTTGCCGACTTTCATGCAGGGTATAAATGGAAGTGGGGGGAGGGGGGGAGTAGCCTGTCAGGAGGGGGGAGGGGTGCAGAATAGAGATCTTTTTATGTCTTTTCAAAAAAAAAGAAAAACCACACACATACAAATTCGTCATTCAATGGATCCAAAAAACAAAGAGAAATGAAATGAAACATATATATACACACACAAAAAAAAATGAATCCAAAAATCCCTTTCCCAAAGATTTTTTGTTTTCAAGGACACAAAATTGCTTTTGTTTCCTGTCATGTTTTAATATCAATATTAACACAATGTGTAGTCTAAAACTAGTTCCTTTGTAGTTTGCATGGGATGTGAATGCTGTCTCAACGTGCCCAAATCTAGAAGACTGCATGAGCGTCAATTCAGATGTGAACAAAGTCTCTCTCTCTCTCTCTCCATATTTATCTCTATTTCTATTGTGATAACTTGATAGGCAGTGAGGCACCTCCGGTTGGTTGCCATACTGTGTTGAATGATCGTTTTTGTTTTTGTTTTTTCTTCTTCTATCTATTTCTGGAGCTCCAAGCTTCTTAGTGGTTAGCCTGGGCTGAGTATTCTTGAGTCCCTGCTGATGTTTTCGCATGGCCTTGGTTGAGTGTTAGAAGTTGGGCCTCAGCTGTTTTTTTTTTTTATCTCGAGTGTTTGGCTTGTAATGGTCGGTGCATGCCTGGCTTCTGGCCTCATACCCAGCTCTATTCTCTGCACACCAGTCCTGAATAGCTACAGTGCTCAACCGAATTTTGGCGCGCCCGCTTCCCCGGCAGGCTCCAACCCGGCGCGGCCCGGAGGCTTCCCGGGGGCCAACAGCCCAGGACCTGTCGCCGATCTCTACGGCCCTGCCAGCCAGGACTCCGGAGTGGGGAATTACATGAGCGCAGCCAGTCCACAGCCTGGCTCGGGCTTCGGCCACGGCATAGCTGTAAGTATCTACCTCGCTGCCTTCCTGCCTCCTCCTTCCTCACCAACTCCACACAGCCCGTGGGGAGGAAAGTCCAGGGTTCAGGGCAGAGGAAGAGACAGGGTGATCCCCATCAACAGCAGGCCAACTGAAGCTCCCACCTGCTGGCCCAGCCATGTAGTCTAAGGTGTATGGACAGCTCTATTCACCACTCCATCACCTTTGGCCTTGGCAACCTTGAACCACTCATACAACTCATGGCCATGGCTACAAAGTAAGAATAGGATATTCTTACCCACCCACCCCCAAAAAAAAACTGGGTGAGAATGAGCAGCTAGCCTAAATCATGTTGTCCTGGCATATGAAAAGTCTTCATGCCATTCCCTCACCTCAGTGGGCAGGACCCCCGCCTGCTGTCCATTTTGGTGGCAGTAGTGCCTGGAAGGTGGTAGGGGGGAAGTTCCCTCCCAGGCCATTCCTTTGCTAATGTTTCTTACAGTTTCCAGGTTCCAAGTAAGTTCCCATTTTCGCTCTTTAGCTGCAGCCCCCAAAGGCCAGATGCATTTGATATCTGTAATGCTCTGTGGTTCTTTAATCTGACTAATCCAGGCAATGGAAATTTGCTTAAGAGATTTGCATGCTGTTCTCAGATTGTATTGTTCTTTTCCCTCCTGGTGTGTGAGCATGAATGTGCCTGAGCCCACTTGCTGGCAGCCCCCTCCATTTTTGGAAACAGAAAACGGTCCAGTCTCTGCCCTAGCCAGCCTCATTCTTTTGGAGGCAATTTGATTTTGAGTGGGGATGTGGGGGCGGGGTGTGCTGTCCCAGGTTATATCCTGCATCAGATTCTGTATCTGGGAGAAAGCAGGCAAACTCTGTCTTGGGGACTATAATGGGGAGACCAAAGCCATTGTGAGAGCCTGGGGGGACCAAGGCAACTTCATTCATGCCTCCTGGCATTGGAAGAACGTGCGCGCGCGCGCACCCCCCCCCACACACACACACACACACAGGCATTCTCACACAGACACAGATATTCACATACTTGTGCATGTCAGCCAACCCTGGCCTGTGCTTCTGAGTTCTCATCCATTCCGCTCCAAAGCCAGTATTACTTGAATCAGTAGTTTGATGAGTCTAATCCCCTTGGATCAACTGTAGTACCAAATCCAGAACATTGTTATTCAGCCCAGAGCTGCATCAATTTGGGGGCCTGTCCATCAGCGCTCAGAACACGACTCATTTCCATTTTCAGCAGCTAGAAACACACACCCTGTTTGTTCTTGAAAACCTGGGTCTTGGGACCTTCACACTGTGATGTTATTTCTGAAATAATCACAGGCCATCACCGTTGATCAGCACCGACATTTCTTCCCCCAGATGAATCTTTGGAGACCGAGGACAGAGATCCTTGTATCTGCCCTGTGGGGGTTCATGGTCACCGTGGGCATTGTTTGGGATTTGAACCCCTCCGAGTCTGGCTCTTGGTTTCCCCTTGGGAAGCATACAAGCTTGGATGGGGGAGTGACAGGGCAGGAAGGGAAGGCGCTGGGGATGGTGTCCCCCTGACTCCTCATGGCACAGTGTCTCAGAATTACATATTCATGCTGGCAGCCACAGACCGTACTCCTAGAGATGACCTCCTTTCCCAGAGTATGACGATCTCTTCCCGTGTATAGCGCACTGATGACCTTAACACTTGTGCAATTTTAGGGCCCTTTGATTGCAACGGCCTTTACAAATGGATACCACTGAACAGGTGCTTCGGTTGGCATCTCACTCTGAGGTATTGCCGTCTCTGCCATGCGTCTCCGCCCTGCCTGCGTGTCCGTACACATATGTGCCCTGCTCATACGTGTACACACATGCCCATCTCATCACATCACATCTCTTTCTTCTCTCTCTCTGGACCCACTTCCTTGGAAAGGAAAAAATCCAATCTCTTAGTCTCTCATTTCTTCCTCTAGCTTTTAATCATGACCCTCATCTGCCCTCTCTCTCTCTCTCTCTCTCTCTCTCTCTCTCTCTCTCTCTCTCTCTCTCTCTCTCCCCCCTGCTCATTTGATTTGGTTCTTTGGGCTCCATTTCTGTGTCTTCCTCACCCTCATCTTTTCCTTTCTTGACTGTGGGAAACTGGAAGGCGATCTCATATTGTGCCCGTTCCAGGGAGATGGAGGCGGGTAAATTGGTCTAGTGCCAGTCCCAGGGCCAGGGGATGGGGAGCAGAGCCATTCTCAAAGTCCTGTGAACTCACCCTGTGGGTTTCTGGGGCTCAGCCAATGGGGTTTGTGCAGCCAAACGGCCTGACTCCATCTTTTAGAGAAAAGAAAACATTTTTTTGCCAGTTAACTGTGGAGTAATTATCAAGATTACCACACGAAAAGCAAATTAAACTAACAGCATCACCTGCCTAACGTGAATTTGGATCCCTGCCAGTTTCTTAACCTTTTAAACTGAGCTCGAGTTAATTAAACATTTTTAAATCACTTTGATGGAAATACAGAGGTGGTGGGACAGAAGAGAGCAGGTAGCAAGCAGGCCTCCTTATCACCTTCTCCTCCTCCAAAAACGAGTATCTGCCATGCTTGGGAAGAGCACCAGGCAGAGGGCTGGCCTCCTCACGGAAGCCCGAGGTCTGTATTGTGTTGGCATATAAGCTGGAGGATGGGATGGCAAGTAATGTGTCTCTCCAGAAGAGGGGAAGGTGATGGCTGAGGCCTTGGAATAGATCCTACTTGGAAAATCCCATTAACTTTTCACTCTTGGAGCTGGGGTGGGGCGTGGGAGGGAGGGGGTGGCTCTGGGTTTGTCTTCTCTGGAGGAGAGGAGTTGGGGAATTGCTGGGTAGTGGATGGGGACCATTTGAGTTGAGCTCCACAAATCCTTTAGATTCCTCCTATGTTGCTGCTCGACTAACTCCACTGCCTCTCTTAACCAAATAAACCCTGTGTATGACTTTCCCATTCCTTACCTCCATTGCCCCCCCACCGCTGGCAGAGCCAGAATCCACTAACAGTCTAAAGAGAGCTATTCGCTACTAATTAAGCTGGGTTTGGGGGATTGGGGACAGTGAGGTCCCTCTGAGAGCTAGGAGGACGGAGAGGACCAAGAACTCTTGAGGGCTGAAGATGAACTATCAAAGAAAGAGGGACTCAAAAGAGTGCCTAGGCGCAGCATGTCCCCCGAGGCCAGCCGCTGAAGCTGCCCATGTCCACTCCTCCCCCACAGTCCCGCCTCCTTGTAAGGCTGCTCTGACCTTACCATAGGGAAGGTAGAGGCCGGCCCCAGGCTATAAGGATAAAGTAGCCAGGAAAGCAGCCGCTTAAAGCCACTCCTGCCAGTCAAGCCACGCGATTGCGTAGCAGCTGTGAAAGACTAGGCAGGCACATCATTTGTCTCCCGCAGAAGTGACCCTCTGACATTTAGTACCACCCACAGAAGAGCCCAGGCCGGCAGGCAATCCAGGATAACCCAGTCAGCAAGCCTGAATCCTGGGCCTGTTTTGGTTTTCTTGAACCAGAACTGGTTATTTGGTTTTGGGATTTTGTTTTGTGTTGTTGTTGTTTTAAGTTTTTATTTGTTTTAAGTAGTTACATCAGTCCCTTAGTATATAATCTCTTAGTACAAATTCACGTTTTTCAGTCAGTGGTAGTTTTTGTTTGTTTGATTGTTTTTGTTTTTGTTTTGCTGCTGGGTTTTTGGGGTTTTTTTGGTTTTTTTTTTGGGGGGGGTTGGTTTTTCGAGACCTGGTTTCCCTGTGTAACAGCTCTGACTGTCCTGGAACTCACTCTGTAGACCAGACTGGCCTCAGACTCACAGAGATCTACCTGCCTCTGCCTCCCAAGTGCTGGGATTAAAGGCATGTGCCACCACGCCTTTTTATATTTTAGTTTTTTTAGTCTTTTCTTAGGCATAGCTTCAAAACCAAAAATTGAAACAAAAAGGGGGTCTCCTGCCAATGTATGGTTTGACCAACTAGCTGAAACCCGCGCTGACTCTACTTCCCACCATGAACTCCAGAACTTTCCAGCCCCATGTCAGACCTGTCTGTCCCCTTCCCAGCATCAGGCATGGCTTAGATACCTGGTTTACCAAGCTGGGAAGTCAGCCATCAGTCATTTGCATTCACACACACACAGTCATACAGCCTAGTCCTCTGACAGCTGTAGGCGAGAGCTCAGAATGATCCATATGTGTGCCTAATGTTCTCTCTCTCCTCCCTCCCTGCTCTATGTTCTCTTCGGGATGCGCCTGACCTCGCTGCCCCGCAGAGCATACCTGGATGTCCAGGCAAGACTGGGCGAAGTTTCTGAGTGGCCCTTTGTTTAGGTGATGTCCTCAGACCTGGATCCCCACCAGCCTCACTCCTCATCCCAACCAGAGTGGCACACTTTGGATTGAGGGTTGACTACGTCTCATCTCACCACCCTGCTGTAATATAAGACAACAGCTTTTAAACGTGTATATAACCCATGGTTTTGGTTTGGTTCTTCTGTTTGTTTTTCTTGGTGGCCTCCCTCTCCCTCCCCCCTCTCCCTTCTCCTTTGGAATCTCCCTGAATCACATTTGGTAGTGATTTCTGACTTAGCCTGGTGTCACCGTAGCTTAATATCTAGTTCACAGCTAACCATAGTATACTTGTTATATATTAAGGAGTTTTCTTTTTTTCTTGAAAAAGAGTTTTGTTTTGTTGTTTTGATTCTGTTCTCACTTTTAAAGGATGCTGAGATGGTGATGTTACTCTCCATTTTGGGTACCAATTCTGAGACTGTAAGAATTTTCATCTGGGACTTTAGCACACACTGAAGCAAAGTTGTGATGTGCGGAGCGGGAGGTGGGCATAGACTCTCTCTGTTGCGTTGTAGAAGTGACATGCAGTTGGCTGCCTAAGAGACTGTAGCAGTTCATTTTTGTGACGTCTCTTTGTTAACCTAAGTCTATTTTCGGCAATAAGGTAAGGACGGCCGTGTTTTGAGGGTCCTCCTTTTCTATGAGTGCTTTTCTTTTTCTGTTCAAAGAGGTCAGATTATAAGGTTTTTTGAAATTGTGAATTCTAAAAAACAAAAAACAAACAAAAAAATGTTGTAAATATAATTCCATTAACTACATAGAAACTATTAAGAAAGAGAATCAAAAATATTTTTGTGGGGGAGTTGCTCCCAGGCAGTTAGGTGCCCTGGAAGAAGGGAGGGGAGGGAACCTTGATGAAGCCGGTACTAAACCACAAGAGCACCCAGCTGCCAGGGCCACCCGGGATTCCACTCTTAGCGCCTCTGTTGGTGTGGTAGACCTAAGAACCGCATTAGCACCCCGCCAGCCTAGCGACCTCTCTGTGCACAGCTTCAATGTTACGGTCTAGCTAGATTTTTATTTAAAATATGAAAAACTGCTTTTCCCAAGACGTTTTTTAAAGGAAAAAAAAAACAAAGCTACAATTTTAATATTTAACATATTTAAAGTTTCAAAGCACACCTGTTTTGGCTTAGGGGAGGGGCAGGGTGGGGACATTCTTTTTCAGTCTTAATTTTTAAATATCTGATCATTTTATATTGTCCAATCATTTCAGCACCTCCAAAGGTCCCTAGGGTACTCTGCCTCTCTCCTCACCCTGTCCCCAATCCTGCCCCCAGAGAAGGGGGCCCATGGGCCAGGAGTGGATAAGCCTGCATGAATACACCCTTTCTCCATTCACTTTCTATTTACAAATTAGGGAAGCAACCTTTCGGTTTATATATATATGTTTTTTTTGATACCTCAGTGCTGCAAGTATCATCAGAGAGGCTATGGAAGAGTTGTTTTTTTTTTTTTTTAATTTATTGTAGATGTAAACAGAATTTTAAAAATAAAAGGTATAAACATCACTGCACTGTGACTGGGGGAAAAACTGACAGTTTCCTGTTTGCACATGTTTGACATTTGGCTGTTAGAATATATGGTCCTCAGTTGGGGAAAGACACTTAGGATGAAGGATATTTTTTAATTTAACTTTTTTTTAAACTATTGGTAATAGGTCGGCAACAGCAACTGTAGACGTCCAGCTCAGTAGACGGCATTCAAGCATATTGTAGTGTGGATATATATTTTTTTTCTTTTTTAAAATGTGATATTGACATTTTATTAATATTTTTTAAATTGTTACGTTTATAAATTTGGTACTTAAGGCACAGCCAGTATGAGACACTGAATGCGACGTTTATTATAAAGAACAGCTGCACTCCTGTTTTTATAAATTTTACTAACAAATAGACTAACATAGACATTCACAGACACGGTAGCGCAAAAGCATCTTCACACGAAGTCTCCAAAAAGCTAATTCAGGAAGAAAGTAAAGAACCCTGCTTCTGTTCTAATTAAATGCAACTTAAAAAAAGAAAAGAAAAAGAAAGAAAATCATGTTCTTTGTTTTTAAAATAAAATGCTGGGTTGTTTGGGAAGGTTTTGGATTTGGGGTGGTTTTTGTTGTTGTTGTTAATTGTTTTTACGTTTCCAAACAACTAAACCAAGTACAATGCTGGATGCTTTTAAAACACGAAACTCGTTCAAGTCATCAAATAACAAAATAGAAGTTTTACTTTAAAAAACATCAACGAAGAGAAAGAGGGCGACACTAGGTTCCCAGCAGTTCCGTGTCTAGCTAGGGGATGAAGTCCTCCTTTGTCCACGTTGGTGACGTCCTGTCCCCCAGCCCCTGTCCATTTCTCCACGTCCCCATCACCTCATAGTGACTCTTTGTTGACCATCCTTTGTTAATAATGTATAATATGGCTCTCTTGTAAGCGTGCTGTCTTGGTATTAGCGTAGTGACTTTTTTTCTCCTCTTCTAGTACATATTGATAGGTGTAACGTAATTAAGGTTTAAAAAAAAATTAGACATAGTTATTCAGATTTAGGACCAGTAAGGATAGAACTTTCCTTATTTATGAAAAGAAAAAAATGCTAATAATTTGGGGGCAGTTTTTTCCTTTTTTTTTTTTTCCGAGTTCAAATTTAATTTTATTTTTGCTGATTTGATGTGGTTTCAACTAACCCAAGGTCTCACAATGTTCAAATGCCGGCAGACTCCACGGCGTTTTGTAGGTCCCCGCCCCCCTCTCTGTGAAGGGGTGTGCCATACTACCTTAAATGCAAACACTAGATATGCAAAACTGGATTTTTTTAATTTATTTTTTAAAAGAGGGAGGCGTGGTATATTAAAATGATTTTACTAAGAGAAAAAAATATTTTTTTAAGGATGCTCAGAAGAAATTGATAATCTGTGTGAATATGTTTTAGATGTTTATATACATTTTGAAGAGACCCAGTAGCCCATAGCACAAATCTTGTGAACATCTGATATGTTTTCAAGTGGCTACCTAGGTTAAGGTTCACATTAGTCCCCCCCCTCCTCATCTAGAACTCCATCTTAAACGATTTTTGTGAATTCTTTTAACACTGATGTCCACCCCTGTCTTTGTTTCAGTTAAGCTCAATAGCGAATGTGGGGACCTGCTATCATAACCTTCCCTTGGGGAGAAACTCTCTTAGCTAATGGCACCTCCGTGGCATTATCAAATAACCACCAGGGGATTCTCTGGCTTCCAGATCCATCTGCCTGAGACCCCAAGCTCCTCTCCTCCCAAGAGGGGGGATGGAGTGGCAGTGACTCCTGGTCCTCTTCCTACTTCAGCCTGGATGTGGGACTGGTGGAGATGACCAAGCCTGGGTCTCCTCCCCAGGAGCCTCTGCGTGTGTGGTTTGTGGCCTTCCTCATACCCATTGGGAAAACGAAACAGCCTCACACTCTATCCCCATCGCTCATTGGCTTGATTCAAACGAAGCCCCAACAGGCCTTTGCGGTTTTTTTGTTTTGTTTTTTTTTAATCCCTCATAACCATTCTCTTAATTTGAACTTGTAGCTTGGGCTTTAAGGTAGCATGGCTCGATTGTTGTCAACTTAATGTCTCGCTGCACAGCAATTCACAGCCAGTGAATGTTACACACACATCTTGCTAGACTAGTATAAAAATCATTGGGTAACTGTGGGTTCTAATGACCTGAAAGGTGTTCAGTTTTGTTTGGGGGGGGGGGTGTTGTTTTTCTTTCATTTCTTTTTTTCATTTGAGAATTTTGGGGAGAAAGTATTTTTTGGTTCCGACTAGAAAAACAAACGCTATCTTGAGCGTTAGTGGAAACGCAGGCTAGGGACTTTTAGCCTCCACCACCACCACTACCACACCGCTCCATTCTGCCATTCACTCACTGCAGCATCTTCAAGAATAAAGCAATATAGTTTACCACATTTGTCTTTATTGACGGTCAGCCATGCTTTCTGTGTTATATTACGTATGAAATTGTTTACAAAAGAAACACTAACTCATACTTCTCTCTCTCAGTTGGAAGCGACGCACAGGGGCAGAGGGAACTTGGAGGGCAGGTGAGGGAGGGCAGAGGGGGTTTGCTTTTTGGTTTTTTGGCTTTGTTTTTCTTCCTGGTTGTGCTTTACTAACCAGATCCTCCAAGGAAGGCAGAAGCCAGCCAGGCAGAGAGAGGCGAGAGAGGGGCAGGCTGTGCGGGTGAGCACATTGAACGGACACGCTGGGAAGCCCCCCCCACCCTCAGCTAGAGCAGAAAACCAATGTCACCTGAGCCCAGTCCTGGGCACAGACACTACACAAGGCAGCGCTGGAAGTGAAGCAATACTTTAATCCTGTCTAAGTTAGTTTTCTTCTGTTCTTTCTTTTTTTTTTTCTCACCAAAAAAAAAAAAAAGTAAACTAAAACACAAAAACAAACAAGCAAGCAAACAGAAAAACATATAAATAAAACCCACCCCTCTCGGGGAACAACCACAATTCAAACACGGCTATTTAATGATCAGAAGGTGTTGTCTCAGATAGGACTTCATTTCCGGAAGGCAGGGCACGAGGGGGAAGGGGGGGTGGAACTGAGAGACAGTTCCAGAGCCTCCATGGAAGGCTCCTCCTGCTGTATTCTGTACATACTGTACCACCCTGTGTGGGGTCTGTGAGTGTGCTCTTGAGTAGCGTGGGCTAGCCAATCTGCCATTCATGGTGTTATAAACTCAGAATTCCATATGTAATAGGATGCAGGTCTAAGCGTTTCATGTGGACATAAATGTATCTAAATAAAACTTCCCCTAGCACTGTGGCTGACCTCACCCTTACTTTTATACTTTAGTATGAAACTGATGAGAACTTTGGTAGTGAGTATTTTTTTTATATATATATACATATATATGTATCTATATATATATATATATCTCAAGCATCTTTCAGGTCTTTGTGTGTGGCTTTCTTAAAGCCCTGTTGTAAAAAAAAAAAAAAAAATTACTATGTGGATGGCAGTCTCTCACATCACAGATGTGGAAAGTATAATTTTATATTTGTATTTTCAAATAAATAAGTTTGTGAAAGGTTTCCATCCTCTACTGTGGTCCAGAAATCAATGTGTTTGTCTGACAAAAAAAATAATAAAATAAACTGTTTTGAACAGAGTCGTGTAGTGTTCTTGCACTTGCAGAGGCTGGGGTGGGCAAAGCTGCTGTGGGGTTTGGGTCTATCACTGAATCTTACCTTCATGCTCTTACCCCACAGCCAAAAAAAAAAAAAAAAAAAAAAAAAAAGAGTCCTTTTCCTGTTCTCTCAAGGAGCCATTTTTGTGGAGTGACCAGGGAACACTTGGATGAAAGAGCAGACCTGGAATTAAGTGATGAGCAGTATGCACAGGACCTGTGGGCAAATCCCTGCACCTTTGTGGTCATAGGGCCCAGGTGGAGAGAGGGTATGGAACGGATCAACTGGTTGTCCCGCTTGCTGGCTTGGTCTCTGCCCCCAAAGACTTCAGAGTTGCCTTAATAGAAATAATTAGGATCACAGACTAATGGTGCAGAAGGATAGATCATGGGTAATACTTGCCACTTTCTCATTATAGAAAGAAAAAGAAGGAGGCCCAGCTCCTTAAAGGCAAATCCATGTCCTGGTGGTAACAGGTAACAAACAGCCCAGGTGGGCCTGAATGAGTGACCCGTCTTGGCTACGGGGGCCTGGAGGTAAACAGCCTTGTCATTAGTTTATTCTGAGAGTTTCCCAGGAGCAGCTTCATCAGAAAAAACAGCCCTGGGACGGAGTTCCCCTCCGCGTTCTTGTTTTTCACTTCATCTGAGGGCTTACACCCAAATCTTGAAGGAAGAAAGATGCACCTCAGGCTTCAAACTGGAGCCAGGCCCAGCTCCCGTGTGCCCACAAACACTCTACCATGTTCCAAAACAGTGGGAGATTGTAAGGAGCCGAGAAAGCCCTGAGTGGATGTGTAAAGAGCAAATGAAGTTGAGTGAATGTGTCTTGTCACAGGCATGGCCCTGTCAAGAACCATGGCATGAGACCTACAGGAAACGGGCAAAACCTTCATCTTGTCAGAATGTGAGTGTTCACAGCATGTCTGAGTGTTTTATTAATGACTGCTCAGTGTTTACATTCTGAGGCTCCTCATTCACAGAGACCTCCTACACAGACCAGCTAACTCCTTCCCCTGTGCTGTGCGTAATGAACATGCTGTATGAAACAAAAGTGCTGACGTCTGGGTTGTTGCAGTAATTAGTGCCACTCCATTCAGAGTGCACACGGCCCACCTGACCCCAGCTTGTCTGTGTCCGTTTGTCTGTCCTCCCTTTATTCCCTCAGGGCCCCAACCAGGTTTCCAGGACTAATAGAAAAGAATCATTCCTGGTGTCCTGCAAAGACTGAAGGCTAATGAGAACTGATTTCAGAATCCCAGGAGTTCCAAGCAGGGGAAGTGAACCGGGCTCCTGAGAAAGTCCATCCAAACATCTTCCTCGCCCACATTGCTCAACTCAAAGGAATCCTCGGGTCCAGCCCCTGCCCAGGAGCCTGAATAGAGAGTGGGTGAGCAGGGGTGCAGTGATGCCCCAGCTTCACCCCTGCTTGTGCTTGAAGTTTTGATGCTCAGTGTTTAAAGGTCACTGCCCCGTGACCTTACACCTACTGAGTGGCCAGAGGAAATTTCCTATGTTTGCAGAACACACAGAAGGCTGAAAAGTAAAAGTCCGAGAAAATAAGCAAATGTAAGATTTAAATAGGAACAGGAATGTCAGAGAAGGTTGAGCTCAAGGCTAAAAGTGCCCAACAGGGTATCATGTAATGACAAGACACAATATTTTGTTGTTGTTTTTTTGTTTTGTTTTTTCGAGACAGAGTTTCTCTGTGTAGCTTTGCGCCTTTCCTGGATCTCGTTCTGTAGACCAGGCTGGCCTCGAACTCACAAAGATCCGCCTGCCTCTGCCTTCCGAGTGCTGGGATTAAAGGCAGGCGCCACCACCACCCAGCAAGACACAATCTTAAGGATGCTAGAAGGTGACAAGCCCTAGCAACACATTAAACATGTAGAGGCATTTTAAAATGTCCTAACAAATGATCAAACCCATTAAGAAGTGGAAGACTAGAATAAACTGACCACAAAGAGCACTAAGAGTGGTCAAAGGACCTAATACTGGAAAAACTGACTAGATCCAAAGAGATTACAAATGGATTCATTTAACTGATAAGTTCAGTGCCAAAACTCGGTTGTGATGATAGAAAAATACAGAAAGTATTTCTGTTTTGAGAACACATTGTCCTGATGTCAAAACCTAGTACATAACTAAGATTTTTAAAAGATGCAACTGTAGGCTTAGGAATTCAGACACAAAAATTCCAAATATGGTTTTAACAAGTAAAACCAGAGTGTGTTAAGGTATAATAAGAGCAATTAGAACTTCTTCCAAGAATGCAAGGGCATGTCAATAATAGGGATCTGTTAATATAAGTCACTATATATAAGTAAAAGAAAATGACATCATAGTAATGTATTTGAAAACTACAGCAGTGATTCCTAATTAAAACACCATAGATTGCCAGGCAGTGATGGTGCATGCCTTTAATCCCAGCACTCAGGAGGCAGAGGCAGGGGGATCTGTGAGTCTGAGGCCAGCCTGGTCTACAGAGTGAGTTCCAGGGCAGGCTCCAAAGCTACACATAGAAACCTTGTCTCAAAAAAACAAACAAATAAATAAATAAAACATCATAGAAATAGGAAATGAAAATAGTTGCATACAGTACAGCAGAGACTATTTACTAAATCCAACATGAATGAATATCTTAAATGGTATTTCAATTAAAATAAGAATATGGGGCCTGGGCTATAGCTCAACTGCTTACCCAGCATGCAAGAAGCCCTGAGTTTGATCCTTAGCACCACATAAAAAGACTGTGGTAATGTGCAGTCTGGAGGTGGAGGCAGGAGGATCAGAAGTTCAAGGTCATCTTTCACAACATAGCAAGCGAGAAGCCCGCCTGGAGTACAGGTGATCCTGTCTCAAAAAGAGGAGCGCTTGAGGAGGGAGGGAGGAAGGAAAGAAGGAAGGAAGGATTGTATAGGGGCTGCTCCTATTATTGATGTTTAATCTTGTCATGGAGTTCCTAAAAGCAATGTAAGTTGAGGAGACAGATAAATAGGTTAAGTGCTTTCCACGCAAGCATAAGCATATGAGTTTGGTCCCAGCACCCACATAAAAAGCAGGCTTGGGCCGGGCGGTGGTGGCGCACGCCTTTAATCCCAGCACTCGGGAGGCAGAGCCAGGCGGATCTCTGTGAGTTCGAGGCCAGCCTGGGCTACCAAGTGAGTCCCAGGAAAGGCGCAAAGCTACACGGAGAAACCCTGTCTCGAAAAACCAAAAAAAAAAAAAAAAAAAAAAAAAAAAAGCAGGCTTGGTAGTTTACACCTAGAACCCCAGGGCTTTACTGGCTAGCCAATCTCACAGAGTCAGCCAGTTCTAGTGAGAGACCCTGTCTCAAAAACTAAGATGGAGAACAATTGAGGAAGGTCACCTAATGTCAGCCTCTGGCCTCCACATGAACACATGTGCACACACACAAACGCAAAGGCGATAAAATGTGTAAGTATCAGAAAAGCAACAAACCCACGCGTATTCTCCCAGAGGTTTGGAGAGACTCTAGTAAACCAAATACATAAAGATGACGACTGGTTAATGTAAAAAGTAAGGTGACTGGATACAAAATAAATACACAAAAAAATTAGTAGCCTTTCTCCAGTAATAAAAACGAGTGATAGTGATTGGAAAATGATTACAGGTAAGTTTTATTGAAAAATATGTATGCTCTATAATAACGGTTGTATCTTCAACACTAGAGAAGTGGTTGAAGAAAGCCAGGCCCACTCAAACAGAAAATAAAATGGCCATTAAGCAGTGACTCTGGACTCCTATCGGACGGCTTTACAGAATGTATGGCATACACTTGAATAAAGCAAAGTAGCTAGTAAAATAATAGATGTTACAGTTTTGTGGCAAAGCAAACTGACAAAACTACATATGCATGCCTGTGGCCCGCGTATGTAGATCACGTCATGTTTACTTGGGGGGGGGTTAAACTTGTCCATGAATCACCAAGGTGGGGGTATGGAGGGGTGAAAAGCCTGAAATGTGGAAGTAGGATAGAGTGAGGGGATACAAAGAAACTGATTCGTTCACTAAAATGTATAAATTCAGTGTTTGTTGACTTTAAAACGTAAGCATACATAGATGAGATTTTTTTTTTAAATTAGGAGTAGAAAAATATTCTTTAAAAGAGGGCTGGTGCTCTAGCCAGATGTGGTGGCACACACCTGTAATCTTGGCACTCAGGAGGCTGAAGCAGGAAGCCCCTTTGGGCTATAGAGCAAAGCCCTTTTGAAAGAAGGGGAGGAGAGAATCCTCCCATTTCAGTAATGGTGATTCCATCTTAATAGATTAAATGGGAGGGTTGGGATAGGTTGCCAAAAAGGATGCTGGCTTTACTTGTTATTTCTAGATCTCCCAAAGAAGCATGGGGCTGGCGAGATGGCACAGCATTAAAGGTACCTACCTGCTGCTGCCAGGCTTGATGACAAGTGGAATCCCTGGGACCCATGTGGAAAGACCTGCCTCCCACAGGCCACCCTCTGGCTGCCATATGCAAAATGTGTGGTCACGCATGCAATTTCTTTAAGTAATAAAAGCATGATTTTCCTATATTCAGAAATAAAATTCATTTTAAGTTAGCATCTTTAAAGGGAGTTTGGGAGCAGTCCATGGGAGAAGAGAAAAGCTTCATGTG